GGCGGGAGTCTGAGTCCCTCCCCCGATCTGTGAAGTAGCTGGTGCAATCGGAATCAACCCCGCCTGAGCCAATATACCAAACATACTCATAAACTGTGCTAAGGTCTCCTAAAGTCCAAGGGTAACAACAGGTGCCTCCGGTACCTGTCCCCCCAACCGGAGCTATTAGTGGCTCCTCAACCATTGCTCTAGTAGGAGCCCTAGCTGCGGCACGTGCTCCCCTTCGGCTTCTACCTCTGCATCTGGCGTTACCTGCTCCGGGAGCAGCGTCATCGATAACTGCAGCTCGTGTCCTCACCATCTGTGAGAGAATAGAATGGTAAAACTCAAACTCCGAGATCAATAAACTCGCATGATAGGAATGAAGGAAGTGAAACTGTCCTAATAATCCTGTAGCCTCTCGAAGATAAGTACAGACGTCTCCGTACCGATCCGCAAGACTCTATAAAACTTGCTTATGACTCGTAGCACCTATGAACCTAGAGCTCTGATACCAACTTATCACGACCCACTTTTTCCTCCGTTGGGTATCGTGATGGAACCTAGTCTTAGGGACTAGGTAAGCCTAACATATACTAAATAACAACAATAATTAAATAACATCTAACAATTTTTGAAATGGAAATCTCTATAAAATTTATAATTTTCATAACCGGTAGTACAAGTCATAAGCTCTACTGAGTTATTAGAAAGCCTATAAATACAACTGTTTTGAAATAGAGGTGAAACAGTGCAAGTACAATATCAGAAGGTGACTCTGAAACCTGCGAACGCAGCAACAAGTTTACCTTGAGTCTCCACAGCAAGATCCGTACTGCTAGCGATCAGTCAACTGACTCCATATTTACCTGGCCCTGTACAAAAATATACAGAAGTGTAGTATGAGTACACCACAGTCGGTACCCAGTAAGTATCAAGACTAACCTCAGTGGAGTAATGACGAGTTACAGTCAAGACACTCACTAGTCAAATAACCTATGCCATACTAAAATAATCGAAAACAAATAGCAGTGATAGCAACAATAATCCACTAGTGCTATAAACAGTAAGGCAGCAAGAACACCATAATTATTACTCAGACGAATAAGAAACACAAGAACAACCAATTAAACAAGTCTTTCACATATAATCTCTTCAAATAAATACCCTGCAAATAAATTTCTTCAAATAAGTATCCTTCGAATATAAAACTCTTCCGAATAAATATCTCATATTATAATCATAAAATACGGTTCTTGACCCCCTTTCATATTCTCACGGCACCTCGTGCGCATATCTCTAATCACAATTGCACGAACAACTCCCGTGCCAAATATTTTAATAAATCATGGATTTGCACATCAAGTGCTCAAATATTATAATTTATCACAGATTGCATATCAAGTGCTCAAATATTATAATTTATCACAGATTGCACATCACGTGCTCAAATATTACAACTCGCCACCAAATTTAACAATACATTATTTTCCATAATAAGGAGCCCATGGCTCGACCATAATATGCACAAAGTCTTAACAAATATATCCGGGAGTGAACAACTCAACAAAATAATATTTTACATAAAAATCAAGGTGGCAATCACACCAAATCATCATATAAAAACAAATCCAACAAAATAAGAATTTAGGCAAGACAATTAAAGGATTTAATAAGTGCCAATAATTTTTAATTTAATGCATAAGGGCGTCTAAGGATCTTAACCAATATAATTTGCACATATAAACCAAGTACGTACTCGTCACCTCGCGTATATGGTTTTCAATTATACAAATTACACATAAGACTCAATGCCTAAGGGAAATTTTTTCCACTCAAGGTTAGGCAAGATACTTACCTTTTTTAAATTATGTCGATATTCCAAAATCGTCTTCTTGCTTGAATTGACCTCCGGACAGCTCAAATCTATCCAAATTAATTGTATAACTTCATTAAAATTCATCGGAAACAATTCCGGATAATAAAATGCAGACTTAAAAATTTATTCTAAAAGGTCAACAAAAGTCAACGCAGGGCTCGTCTTTCAGAATCCGACATAATTTTCACGAAATCCGAATACCCATTCCGATTTGAGTTCAACAATACCAATTTTATCAAATTCCAACAACAAATCGTCCTCCAAATCTTGAATTTCCGTTTTTGGAAGATTTTTGAATTCTTCCATTTAAATCTGAACTAAACGATGAATATAACCATAGATTCATGAAATATAATATAGAACACTTACCCCAGTCGAAGTCATAAAGAAATCCTCAAAATCACCCAAAAACCGAACTCTAAAAATCCCAATCGAAATGAAGAAATGACAGATTTTCGATCCTTAAGTTTCTGCCCAGGTTCGTATTTGCGGATAAAAACTTCGCATTTGCAAATGAACAGTACCTCCCATGAACACTGTTCGCAATTGCGACAAATTGTTCGCAACTGCGAGTGAACAGTATTTTCGCAATTGCGATAAATGGTTCACAATTGCGAATGAACAGTGTTTTCGCAATTGATAAATGGTTCGCAATTGCGAATGAATAGTACCTCACTAGAAAACAGCAAACTCAAATTTCTCTGAAACCACCCTGAAACTCACCCGGAACCTCCCGGACACAAACCATATATAAATTTCAATCATAAAACATGCTACGGACCTGCTCGCGCACTCAAAATATTGAAAAGAGGTCGTCTTGACCCGATATTGACCATGGTCAAACTCCCAAATTTCTCAACTTTACTAGTCTCTCAACCAATGATCTAAAAATACATCCAAGCCCCTCGGGACCCGTCAAATCATACCAACAAGTCCTAAAATATCATACAAACTTTCGAAACTTTAAATTACAACGAACAATGCTAGAACCACGAATCATACCCCAATTCAAGCTTAATGAAACTAAGAAACTTCAACTTCTACATTAAATGTCGAAACCTATCAAATCACGTCCGATTGACCTCAAATTTTGCACACAAGTCATAAATGACATAACGGACCTATTCAAATTTTAAGAACTGGATTCCGACCACGATATCAAAAAGTCAACTCCCCGATCAAACTTTCTAAAAATTCTATTTTCGCCATTTCAAGCCAAATTTTACTACGGACTTCCAAATAATTTTTCGGACACGCTCCTACATCCAAAATCATCATACGAAACTATTGGAATCATCAAAATTCGAATCCGAGGTCGTTTACACATAAGTCAAATCTCTGGTCAACTCTTTTCATTTAAGCTTAAAAAATGAGAAGTGTTCTTTTAATTAAATTCCGAATCTTCCGAAAATCAAACTCGACCACACCCGCGGGTCATAATACATATTACGAAACTGCTCGAGACCTTAAGTCACTGAACGGTGCATTAATTCTTAAAACGACAAATCGGGTCGTTACATATAGCATGCTAAATGAGCGCTTTTTTATTTTGTGGGTCAAAAAGTTATAGTCAAATGATTTTATTGTCAAAAAAAATTACTTTAATGAGTTATAAGTTGAATGGCTATCTAAGGGATTGACTACTATATGAACATGTTAAGTTTTATTTCTCCTTTTCCCCCTTTTGTTAGTCATTTATTAACTAGGCATGCCTTCTAAGAAATCAATTACTATTAGGAGTATTTTATTAAATTACCCTTGTTAATGGTTATTAAAGTTGTAACTTCAATAAAATTTAGTAAGTGTGGGTACTTAATACTAAGGGTAATATTGCAAGTTAATAATAAATTCATTTATATCTGCCATGATGAACAAGTAAAAGGCAAACTTTATTTTTAGTATAGACTAGTAAAAAGGAAGAAAAAAATATTTGTTTAAAGGGAAGAAAATGGAGTCGCACGGTGACACAATTAGTAATTTTTTGAAGCTTGAAAAGAAATAATTATGCGAAATCCGATATCGTTGATGGCCAATTAATTGGATGTAGAAAAAAAGATGTTTTTGTGCGTTAAATATCCATTAGACAATATTTCCTAATGCATATTTTACTAAAATCTAAAAATTTGAGGGCTTGCTTCTGTGGTCTTCCATTACGACTATTGTTAGAGGGTCAATTTTTTTTTAGTTTTGACACGCAGTCGCACACAATGACTCAACCCTTTTTTCCTCGCGTTTTGGTTTGACATTTAGAATATAAAAGGCATACAGAAATCAGGCAAGACACACACATACAAGAATCTCTTCCCATCTTTGTATTAACTCGTGCTACAAAGAACACATAAAATACCTTATAAAAGTTAGCCAAAGACAGCCACACTCATTGCCTTTGACAAGTATGCCATGCCCATATATATACGCACATGATTTTGCACATGTATGATATATGCTGCCTTATGCTAAAATAACAGTTGACATCCCCACCGTAAATGATTCAAAATAATTCGAATTTTACAAGGCAACTACCCAAAATACACATAGCCCACTTTGCTGGAAATCAGGAAACTGCCCAACTGCATGCATGTGCATGGCACATGGGCGCAACCTTCAACTTTTGGTGCCAACAGACCAACTTGTGCCATGCCTTCGCACCATGCCAGTGTGCAACATGCGGTGCATGCACGTCTGCAAATATTACATGCCTAACTCGCCCATGACACTGCCTTGCCACATCCTAGCTTAGCTTTTCCAGCCAGTGCTATGCTTTTGCTGCCCGTTGCCTTTGCCTTGCTATGGCCACGCTAATGCCATGGTCTTGTCATGCCTTGGCACCTAAGCCAAATGCCGTCGTCCCACAGTTCATGCCCATCGACACCTGACCATCATAGGGTCGTATCGAGGTGCATCATGTAAATTCCTCGTCACGCCCATGTCATGTTCGATCAATCAAGCCGATTCAATATCTCAAAAGACAAAAACAAGTTAAATAATATTTTCTTAAATTTTGATGGCTGTATTTTACTCGATACCTTTGTCATGTTTATTAACTTTTGTTCGAATCAAGAGAATAATCCAATATATGTACTGATTAGAGCATTCCACAATCCACAATCCACAATAGACTCCTTAGTCCCAAGTCCCAAGTCCCAAGTCCCAAGTCCCAAATGTTCCTCGTAACGTATCTTAAAAGCAAATACTCCCAAACTACAAGCTGCCCCTCACTGCACGCACCGCACCCCGTCTCTTGTATGCTCTTCACATTCGTCTGACACAAAAGCTTTCCTCCTCTCTCTCTCTCTCTCGGTTTCTGCTCCAATTTCAATATCAAAAGCCCCCCTTCTACTCTCATATTTTTCCATAGTTTGTGCTGTGAGAGAGAGAGAGAGAGGGAGAGAGAGAGAGAGAGAGGGAGAGAGAGGCAGTGTCCGTTGCCCAAAATCACCCCGATAATTATTCAAAATGTCACTTCGACCCAGCAGTAGAACAGAGGTGAGGAAGAAATCTTACAAAATTGGGGTAGATGCGGATGAGGCTCGTCGTAGAAGGGAAGACAATTTGGTGGAGATCAGGAAGAACAAGCGGGAAGACAATCTCCTTAAGAAACGCCGTGAAGGCCTTCTTCAGTCCCAACAACTTCCTGATACTTCTCAATCCCCTGCTCTTCTCGAGAAAAGAGTATGTTGTATCTTCATTTTATTTGAACTCTTTATAATAATTTTTGTAATTGAGGCGTAGTTGATTGAAGCTTTCTACTGTTGCACTGATCTTGTTTTTGGATGCTTCGGAGAGTGTACAGTACTTTTGAATTTTATGACTAAACTAGTGATCTTTTGTGTCGCTTGATACTTGATTTGATTTATGTTCAGTAACTGCTTTTCGTTTTCGACTAACTGGGAGTTGAATATTTTGAGTTTACTGAATTCAGCTGAATCCCATAACTCTTTTGGTTTGAATTTTGTTTCTATGAAGCTGAGTCCATTGCATTTCTACCTCTGCTTCGTCTACGATTTTTTTCTTCTTTTTTCTTTTTGGGGATCGCGTTTTATTTTGATTGGATAAACAAAGTAGTATTGGAATGATTTGGGTGGAGTAGAATGGTTTCAGATGATTAGTACAGTCGACCCCGACTTCTGTTTGGGATTGAGGCAAAGTTGTGGTTGTTTGGTTTATTGCTTAGAAAACTAGAAATAAGAAACAAAACTAGCGTTATGAATTATTTTCCAGTACCTTCCTTCATGGTGTCTTCTGATTTCACTCTGGTTCCTTTATAGTCTTTGAGCGGTTATATTTTAGACCAATGAGGATTTTGCTAATTTCCAAATTGGGACCAACTTCATTGAGTGGTAGAGAAAGTAGGCTAATGTATTGCATGGATGTTGGAATGTTTCCCTACCAAGACATACGAAGAGCTAAAAAGTGAAACTATACCCTTTAAAACATTGTCGTACATATAATCTTCCCCAAATCACTATGAGTTGTGGGTTCAAATGTTTGTAATGCCAATACTCAGGGATGAGGAATAAACAAAGCTTCATTTTATTTGATATTTGTTTTACTTTCTTCTGGAAGACATGGATACTGAGGCGTAGTAGTAGTAGTAGTAGTTGTTGTTGCTGGAAGACATGGATACTTTGGTCATAGTGGATTGCAAAGATCTGAATGAACATGTGCATAGATATAGTAACAGTTTCTATCGGCTTCTTGGGATTATGTCTATGATATACTAGAAGTGAAGAAAGGAAGATTATATTAACTTTTGTTTAGCTTATTTAGTTTTAGCTAACACATACCTTAAAAGAGGGAATCACACTTGATAACATTTCAGAGGATTGAAAGCCATTAGATTTCATCCTTGCCAAAAGAAGTGACAAAACCACATGTGGGATTGCAAAGGTCATATCAAGAGAAGCCCTGTTCACTTGACATAGATGGGTGGTTCTTGATGTGAAGAGAAAGAATAGAGCAGAAATGGGGAAGAGTTGCATGCAGTCGAGAATTCGCTGATGGGTATTAAATGTCACAAACAAAATAGCATTTATGAACAAGTTACTGAATGAGGAATCATGAGACTTAGAAGTGGACGCAGATATCCAATGGAAAGATGATTACTTACCTTATATATCCATGGAGGACTAAAACCTTAGCTACGGTCATAGATTTAGGCATGCAGAAGTAAAGCATGTTGTGAAAAAATATGGGTTAGCAAAGCCTGTGATCTAAATGGTACTCCTATAAAGTTTTGAAAGTGCCTTGGAGAGGTTGGAGTGATATGGCTTGCATGCTATTATAAGCTTTTTGATAAGCGACTATATGTTATATTAAGGAGCAGTAGATTCCAAACGAGCAGACAAAAATTACCTTGTTATGATATGCAGAACAAAGGAAAGTTGTATGAGCTATATCAAGAATTTATTATTCTGGTGCTTTGGTAAAACTCTAGATATGATGGATCATTATTTGGATTTTTTGTATTTCTTGGGGGGAAACATGTAGCATGATGGGGGATCTGTTGTAGTTTCAAAGTTTGTACTGATTTCTGTACCATCTTGGTAATTTTTTAAATAAAAGCCTTTACTTATAAAAAAAAGAAGGAAAGTTGTATGAGCTATAGTGATATTGAACTTATGACTTCCAATCAGAGGCGTATCCAGGTTGATGGATATGGGTTCACGTGAACCCATACTCTTCTCCCTAAATCATGTATAACAATGTTATATTTTTTTAAAATTACTTAAATATATGTGCGTCAACCCATGCTCAAAGACTTCTATGGTGCAATTATTATTGGGTGCACCTCTACAAGTGAAATTGGCGGTTCAAATTTCACTTTGAACAATTTTGATTTTGGCACGGAGTGTAGATATATGTGTGAATATTACTAAAATTTCAAAAAGAATATAATTTTGAATCTATAATTTCAATAGTGTAGTGGGTTCATGGTAAGAGACTAAAGTTAAACCCGTCAAATATAAATTCTAGATAAACTTCTTCACAACAGTGCACCCATCCTCTTGAAATCCTGGATCCGCCTCTGCTGATGTATAGAGCATAACTCAAGGACTTACAAAGATGATAGAGACCCAACTTATGTTACGGAAAATGGAACTTGAGTCAAACTTAACTCTTAAAGTTAGCTCATAAGCTGATCCAAGACTATAGAAGGAGACAACAACTTATTTCACCAACTAATATGCGACAGTCTAACACTCCCGTACATGCCAATGGCTGGACAACTAAAGCATTGGCAACATAGCATGGGGCCCCAACATTGGGTAACCAAGAATAGGAACGAGTACAAATCTGGTACCATGTTAAGAAATTTGAAAACCTCAAAATCTAGTCCATGAGGCGAGGATTACCCAAGATTATTTAAGCTTGTCTTTTTTTCCACATTATTTCTTTTTAGTCTGTTTCGCAAAGAATGACACATTTTTATATTTGGAAATAATTTAATTTTAAACTGTCCATTTTACCCTTTGTGAATGTTATGGCATGTTTAGGACCACAAGCTTCAAAAGTCCTCATTTCTTCTTAAACTTAGTATCGAGTCAAACTACATCACATAAATTGAAACGAAGAGAGTACTATACTTATATGAATTTAGTACTAACTAATCAAATTGCAAGTAAACTACCTAATTCAAGTATTAGATATACAATAATGCCGATATTAATCCAACTCCTTAAAGTTGAGATTTTAAAGAACTAATGATGACCTCTCTCTTTGCATGCGTCATTGCTTTAAGCAACTAAGCGATGGCTTTTTTGATGTATTTTTTTCCAGAAAATATTTTCCCCTCACCAACCAAACATCGGAAAACGTTTTCCATGACTTGGTCATACCAAACACACTTGAGGCTCAATACGACTAGTTGAACAATCAGAATTTGGAACTTCAAGATCAGATGTAAAGATACTGTCTCAGCGTGCAATATATGTAGAAAGATTATTTCAGTATAGTATTTCAATTAGTTTCACTTTCCATATATAATTCCACTGCATAATGAGTAACAAAGAAGAGAATTAGAACAAAAGAGTGTAGAAGCAGAAAATTAATCGTTGAAGCATAAGATAAGCAGAAAGATTGGAGTAGACATTTGGCTATTGTGAGTCAACAAATGAACATGAGGCAGGGAGATCTATGAGTAATTTGGATTTGCATAGTCTATTTCTAGTGTCTGAAGTATTATAACTTTTTCAAATAAAATGGAGATCAACTTGTGCTTTGCCCCATTTGATGATTCACAATTCTTAAAACATGTGAGAAGCGTATGGGTGACAATTATTAGTGAAACTGGGGGCAAATATTGAGAAAGCTTGGATAGAGAATATTGAAAAGATGAAAAGTGATTAGCTTACTCAATTTCACCCTGTTCTAATTTTTTTTAATTCAAACTTGGTGTTCTTTTTTATGAATGCTATGATCTTGGTCATAACTCTTAATAACTTGTGTTTTATAACAGTTGGAAAGTATTCCTGCTATGGTCCAAGGAGTGTGTTCGGAAGATCCTGCTACACAAATCGAAGCAACTACGCATTTTAGGAAGCTCTTATCAATTGGTAACACTTGGTTCTACAGATAGTCTCTTAGATCTTTATGTAATTGTTCAAATGAACAAGTTTTCTGTTACCTATAGAGCGCAGTCCTCCAATTGATGAGGTGATTAATGCTGGAGTTGTTCCTCGATTTGCGGAATTCCTCGGGAGGCATGACCTACCTCAACTGCAAGTGTGTTTCTTGTTTTTCCTTTATTTGTTATGTTGCATTTAGTTATGAAACATCTTGAGTCTGCTTTGATCTTCCCATGCGCAGTTCGAAGCTGCATGGGCTTTGACCAATGTTGCATCTGGGACTTCAGAACATACTCGAGTTGTGATGGAACATGGAGCTGTTCCTAAGTTTATTCAACTTCTAAGTTCAGCCAGTGATGATGTGCGTGAGCAGGTAATTTTGCTTTCTCATTCCACATTCTATTTCTTCACACTCAATTCTTTGGACTCAAAACTAGCTTCCTCTTGTCATGGAGAAGTTCCTCTTTTATAAAGTTTCAAAGACTTTGATGTTCGTAAAAGCTTAGCACTATGAATGGTAAATAATGTAGGAAGTTTGAAACTTTTCCCGATTTTCTTCAGTAATTTCTGCATGGTAATATTGTGTTTCTGTTTCTGCAAATGATTGCTATGCCAAATTTCTACAAGCGAGCCCTTTGTCATTGTGAACTTCTGTCTTTTAATACTTGTTTGTTGATTTGACAAGAGAGGGTTGCTCGAGTGGTAACTTCTTCCACCTCCAACCTTCAGATTGGGGGTTCAGAGTCACCAAGTGAGCAAAGTGGGTGAGGACCACAATTGACTCATGTGAAAGGGGATTGGAGTTAGGCTAGTGTAGGTTACTGAACGCAAAGAAATTGTTTTATTTTTAGAAATTTAAAAATGAATTTACATTTATGCCCATATACTGAACAGGCAGTCTGGGCTTTGGGCAACATTGCTGGTGATTCCCCTAGTTGTAGGGATCTTGTGCTTGGTCAAGGTGCACTCATGCCATTGCTAGCTCAGTTGAACGAACACTCAAAGCTTTCAATGCTGAGAAATGCTACATGGACGCTCTCTAACTTCTGTCGAGGCAAACCACCAACACCATTTGAGCACAATTTATGCTCTAATAATGAGTAGTATTTAGCGATTTTGATATTGTGAATCTCGCTAGGTTGGTAAAATTTTCTCCTAGAATGTCTTTGGCTCACAATATATTTTGTTAGGTCAAACCTGCATTGCCAGTTCTTCAACAGCTTATCCACATGAATGATGAAGAGGTCTTGACAGATGCTTGTTGGGCCCTTTCTTATCTATCGGATGGCCCAAATGATAAGATTCAAGCTGTAATCGAGGCGGGTGTCTGTCCCCGACTTGTGGAGCTTCTTCTGTATGTTCAATTACCTCTACTGTCACTATTTACTTAGTTTAGTCTGCACTATACAGGGTTGACAGCATGTATGGGAATTGTTCCAGCATTCAAAATTGTGACATTTATGTTATTATCAAGCAAAGTTTGCTGAATTTTAGTGCTAACCTTCATTTTTGTTTTCTTGTCCTGCAAAGTCATCCATCACCTACAGTTCTTATACCTGCTCTTCCGACTGCGGGAAATATAGTCACGGGTGATGATGCTCAAACACAGGTAGTACAGTTCCGTCTTCTAAACAAAACTATGCCATACTGTTATCTGGATGCCATGTCTGAATTATATGAAAACTTTTTTGTTGGTATGTTGTCCCAAGAAGCATAGGAATTTGCTTAGTACTCCCTCCATTTATATGACACACTTTCCTTTTAGTCTGTTCCAAAAAGAATGACACATTTCTATATTTGGAAACAATTTAACTTTAAACTTTTTGTTTTACCCATTTTACCCTTAGTGAGAAGCTTTTATAGCCACACAAATGTCATGGCCCCACAAAGCTTTTACCCCTTTAGCTTTTAAAACTACAAGTTTCAAAAGTCTTTTTTTTCATTAAACTCTGTGCCGAGTCAAACTACCTCATATAAATTGAAACGGAGGGAGTAAGTAGCAAGGTACAAAGGATTTATGAGTTATGCACCAAAAAAAAAAGTTTATCTTCATCATATTTTCATTTCAAAAAGAAGTTACAACAAACCTTACAGTGAAGGGACTAGAGAAACTCTAACACCCTATCCTCGTACTAGGATATGAGCTTTCATGTTAATTAAGATTGTTTATTGACTCCCCTTCTTTAGCTCTAGTTTTTAAATAATTATTTTTTAATATTTTTCAGTACGTGATTGACAACCAAGTCTTGCCATGTCTCAATCAATTGCTATCCGAAAAGCATAAGAAAAGCATCAAGAAGGAGGCTTGTTGGACAATCTCTAATATCACCGCTGGAAATAGAGCCCAAATACAGGTATATGATTCCATTGCACTTGTCCCCATTTTGATTTCATAAGTTTCATTCACCATCAAATCACACGTAGTGAGTTGCGTTGCGTTTTTCCTTGAATTATTAAGTCCCACAAAGTACTGCTGTTTGGTGTAGTCGAATACCAATTATAACTGCATATTTTACTAAAACTTCTGTTTATTATTACTTTGGAGAAGTGATGTAAGATATTCAATTTGGAATGCTTGGTAATTTTGGTGACAGATTTAGCATATGGCCTTGCGAGCATTTCACTTCGCTGAGTCTAGGATTATCAAAATGTAATTAGATCTTTGGCAGTTTTTCTGAAAGATACTTTTAAGTTACTCCTTTTATCTTTCTGTATCAAAAAAGTATTTACTCCTCTCATCCCAAACGGCTGACCTAGTTCGTCCCCAGGGCTTTGGTCTAGTAGTAAGAGCCCAACTTGTGATATGTGGCCCACAAAATTGCCTCGTCAATGTTGTCCAACAAAATTGGATCAATGGTATCGCGAGCTTCATAACGTCGTCTCAATGTTCTATTGTATTTAATATACACTAGATCATTGAGACGCGATAGCTCAAGCCTATTCCTTTTCTTGGAGTGAATCTGCGCATAAGTTGTTTAGATTAATTAACAGATACTAATAATAATACAATATAGAATATATTAATAAAATAAATTTACTTCTTACATGCTCAAATATGCTCCAATTTCTCTCGCATCCAGATGCACTACAAGTTAGGCTTAGTACTTTGATGGCAAACTTTTGCAAGTTTGGAGTTTGATGTCCAAATTGCTTCCACCATTCAACTATAGAAAAATATTTTAAAAGTTAATAAGTATAAATCAAATAAATTAATTTAAAGTTATAAGGATATCTATATTAAAGTTAGTTACCTGGCGACCTTATGTCTCTGGCTCTAATGGCCGCTTGTAAACCAAATAGGCCCTCTGCTTGTGAGTACCTACCAAACTCCTCCCCTATTTGATCTATCGTCGCTGAATTAGGGACCAACTTCTCAAGACATGCATGATGTCCAATCCACACCTCTGAAGTCAAAGTTTCATCTCTAGTGTTGTAAAATAATCCCGGGTTCAGAAGATGGCATGCTGCATGCAAAGGTCGATGGAGTTGATTCTCCCACCTGGTATCAATTATCTCAAAAGCTTTCTCATATTTCCTAACATCTCCCTCAAATGACGCTGCAATAGTCTCTTTGGCTCTATCCATAGCTTCATAAAAGTAGCCCATTGGTGGTTCTCTCCCCATCCATCATACGAAGCACCCTAATCAAAGAACCACCAACTTTAAGAGCTCGAATGACGTTATTCCAGAATGATGGAGAAATAAGAACTTTGGCAGTTTCTTTCCCTGCAGCTTCCTTTGCATATCAATTATCTTTTCATTCATTTGAAAGAACTAGCTTTCTCAAGTTTTTCTTTTGCAAGTAAAAACTATGCAAAGTTAAGAAAGCCGTTGCAAATCTAGTCTTGTCCGGTCTCCCCAAATTTCTTTCATTTGTGAATTTCCTCATCAAATTCAACAACAACGACCTCTGACTGATGTAAGAATATACCCTGACGGCCTTAGTGAAAACTGTAAAAGTAACAATAATAATTTTATAGTTAATACTTAATAGGATAGGACATAAGTATAAATAAAGTTAAAAGCTTTAAAGATAACTATATTAAAGTTACCTGAAGCATATGAGTTTTCCTTAATATGTCACCAAACATTAAGTTGATACAATGGGCAGCACATGGAGTCCAATAAATGTGTGGATGCATAGCTTCCATCAACCTACCCGCACTAACATTCTCACTAGCATTATCTGTAACAATTTGTACAACATTTTCCTTTCCAATTTTATCAATAGTCTTTCTAAACAAGCTGTACATTTTGCTTCCATCCGTAGAAGAGTTGCTAGCATCGTGAAATTCAAGAAACACACTTCCTCTTGGAGAGTTCACCAACACATTTATGATCATTTTTTCATTCCGTGTTGTCCATTTATCCATCATAATGGAACATCCAAACTTGTTCCATTCCACTTTATGCTCCTCAATAATTTGGTCTATCTTCTTCACCTCTTTTTTAAGATGAGTTACTCTAACTTCATGATAGCTAGGAGGCTTTATTCCTGGGCCATATTGTCCTACGGCCTCAATGAATTTATCAAAAGTTTTGTAGTTAACACAGTTGAAAGGAAGCCCTGCATTATACATCCATGCTGCAAAGGCACTTACGGCGCGGTCCCTCAAAATCTTCTTGGCTTCTAAACCTGGACCTTCTTCACCTTTTCCCTTTTCTTGTTGTTTTGTCGAGAAATAAAAATTGAGAGGACCTTTTGTCACTGTACGTGCCGTCGTGGATGACCTACTAGAACTATTTGAAGATATCTTATGAGTTTTTTGGGGGGGAGGTCTCATTTCACCATCTTCATCCATTTCATCATCTTCATCAATTAGATTCACCGATGCTTCAAAATTCATTTGAGTTCTTGTCACATTTTTCTTATCAACAAACGCTTTTACTTCCTCCCTAACCTCGGGCGGACAAAGGGGACATTGTACTACATTTTTAAATCCACCTATCAAATGTTGCTTGTGACGAGTTACCCCACCATGATATGTTTTTTCACAAAACACACATTTAATTGCGGATCTTGATGAGCCTTGTATAGCATAATTCCAAGCTATATCATTTCGTTTATTACTATTGGATGACGCCATTTCAACGCTATTTTATAGAAAAAAAATTATCAAGTCAATATGCAATTAATTCTACTCGATAAGACTATAAGTCAATAATTGAAAAAAAGGCAAACAAAACAGGGCCTGAAAAAAACAGAGCATTTGTTAAGAGAAGAAGCAGCCTCTGTTATTTTGCCAAAACAGGGCTTCGAAATAGCCTCTGTTATTTTGCCAAAACAGAGGCAAAAAAAAATTAAGAGAAGAAGAAAGACCTCTATATTTTGCTCGAAAAATAGAGCACAAAAACAGACCTCTGTTTCTGTTCTTTTCGACAAAAAATAGAGGAAAAAAAATAGAAAGAAGAAAGAAGAAAGAAGAAAGAAGAAAGAAGAAGAAGCATACCTGGTCTTTCAATGGCAGGAACCTCAAGCTTTCAGATGAAGAAGACCATGGCAGAACCCTAATCGCGAGTTCAGAACGTCAAAGAAGCTCTGTTGTTTTGTTCGAAGTTGAAGAAGCTCTGTTGTCAAGCCCTAATCGCGACCCTTTTTGTTAAGTCCTTGCCCTTTTTCTTTTTTTGTTTCTAAAAAACAAAGGGTGACGCTACGGTCGCTTCTCGCGACACTGTCGCCTCTCGCCACACAGGCAGAGGCGAGCGCTTTTTGAAACGCAACGCAACAGAGGGTCTGTAGCGACACTGTCTCGCCTCGCCTCGCCTCGCCTCACGCTATTAGCGCTGAAGCGAGCGCTATTTATAACACTGTATGTGGGTTAGGCGCACGTCACGGGTTTGAATCTTACCATAAACAAAAGTCTAGTATATAACTGGGAAAGGGTAGAAGGGCGGGCCTATTGTCCACCGAGTTTCAAATTGTCTGCCACTCTCCCTCGAGGATTCTCGGCTTTAAAAAAAATCAAGTGACCTAGTTAGGAGTTGGCTGTGGGTAAGTACAACGGAACTGTGTATATGTGAGTATTCAATATGCGAAAATGTAGTTTTTTTTTCTAATTTTTAGTATGTTTTGAAGAATATGCACAAAGTACTTGCACCTATTTCACATATAAATGATCCATATACATAGGGTCGCACAGGTATTAAGGAAAATGTTGAAGTTATATTGTATGTGAGTAGAGGTTGATCCAAATTGATATAAGTTCAACTTTTTATGAACCGAAATGGGTCTAACGAGTCTCTTTTAAAGCTCCATCATATTTTTCTGTATACTTTGATAGTATTTATTCGTTATGGGCTACCTGTTCAAAGTTCTTTCCTCCAACTTTTATAGGCAGTTCGCACCCCTTCTGAACCTTCAATTCAGTAGTCTTTTCACTTATATTGTAGTATTAACTTTTTTGCGATTTTGAGATAAAGGTATGTTCACTACTCTAGTCTGCAGCATCTTCTCTGATCCTCTTGGGGGCTTGTCAATCAGTTCTGTGATTGGTAATATTCTGACCACTATAGCCCATAGGTATTCTTTTGTGTCCTTAGCTGACTAGAAATGCTTACTAGAAAGTTTGCTAACAGCTTAGTCCAAGCTCTGAATAGAATGGAAACAGCCAATTGCAATTGACCTAAAGCTTAGTTTATGAATTTACCCTCCATTGCCTTGGGGTTGTAGATCCTGGTGTCGTTACTCTCAGGAGAACCAACTACTCCAGCCGATGGAGGATTCGTTTTAAGTGTTGGCTGCTGACTAGTGGTGAAAACTATTTAATTTTAATGGACTGCATTTTGCTGCTTAGCAAAGAAAATTAAAAATAAAAATAAAAAGCATGGATCCTAAGTTTTATGAGGATCCATGTTCAACCGGAGTTGGATTAGCTTCCAGGATAACTGTTTCTGACAATCATCAGAAGGTTCTTTTAAAAAAAAAAAGAATTTCTATAAGATTTTCTTCCTTTTGTCCAGAGTTTTTTCCCCCACTTCTTGAAACGGGAAGTGTCAGCATTCCTATCTTTTTTCCCCCACTAATGCAGCAATGTATGCTCATTTCCTTTTCAACAGGCTGTTATCGAGGCCAATATCATTCTTCCCTTGGTACACCTCTTGCAGCATGCAGAATTTGATATTAAGAAAGAGGCGGCATGGGCTATCTCAAATGCTACTTCTGGAGGATCTCATGACCAGATCAGGTATGTCAATATATCCATATGCCCTTTTTTGATGCTATATTTCCACCACTAGATCTGGGTTTGCAGAAGTGAATCTTGAAGCTGTTTCTTTGATGATTTGTGATCCTTTCATATTGTTCCGGTGACAAGAGACAGCTAGTTCTAGAGCTTAGATTACAGGGACGATAAATATTAAAAATAAATAGCTAAATGAGGACAAACTTTTCATTTTTGTCTTCGGGAAACTACACACTTCATCCCCCCGCCTCCCCAAAAAAAAAAAAAAAAAAAAATTGTCCCAAAAAGTCACTTACACATGCAAACTTTACAGGCGTCCTTTTACCCCCTTATTCTTGTTTGGAGTGGAACTACTACCACCCTGGGACGTATTCCACATCAGCGCTCAGCAATTCATTAAGTTTTAACTTTTTCCCTTTTTTTTTGACACCTTTTCCCCCCTTCTTTTTATTACTCTTTTTTACACTAGTTAACTCTAATTAACCCTTAACACTCCTCAATAACTGTCATCTCCTTCACCCCCCTAATTATTGTGGAACTGTGAACAAGAACATTAAGATTGCTTCCTCTCCACCAAATAGAACAAAATTTAAGATTGAAATTGGATTTTTGAATGTTATTTGCATTGCTTGGAGAATAAGATGAGTTCCTTTGTGTTTTTTTATTTCTTCTATATTTTTTCCAAAAGTCAGCTTTATCGGTAAGATTCCGCCATTAACGACGAAGCTGTAGCTTTTCTCCCTGCTACTAACTGAGAAATCAACAAGAATCTCTATTTCAATCTCCAAATCTGGCAGCATATCCCCATCGTCGAATATCTATTTGTTAAGAGTTTAAGAGGGCATTCTTTATAAAACCGAAAGAGTTTAAGAGGGCATCAACGGACTCATTCCTGCTAACATGTATTGAATGCTGGTGGGTGTTGTCAGTTGGATCTGATAACAACGTCGCAGGATTTGACTTTTTCTTTTTGTCTTGTCCTATTCCAGTATTGCAAAGGTTTGAGGATTGTATTTGTTTCTAACATTGAGTTTTTTTTGTAAAAGATGCTCATGAGCTGTTTTATTAATTTTCTTTTGATATTTAATTGAGAGAGCACAGGGGATGAAGGTTTTAAGTAGTTCTTAGTCAAGCTAGACATGGTTGGAAATCAGGGATAGCTGGAAGGTGATGGGAAAATCCAAAGGGAAGAATGGTGGTGCATCTGATGCTTGGTGTATGAATGAAATTAGGAGAAAAAAATCAGACAAAAACACATTAAATGTAATTATTCGAGTGTCCAATTAATAATTGACACGTGTCAGATTTTCAACTCAAATTTTGCGTCTCATGCGCAACTAAGGAAGTAGTTTTTCTTTCCAGGGCGAGCGTGAAGTGAAGCGACAAAGCCCTGATTCTCTTAAAGCGTGAAGCGCTTCATTGAAGTGAAACGAGATTTTCAAAAAATAAATACCAAAATAAACCTTGCAGAAAGATAATTTATATAAGCTAAGTTGCTCGGACACAGGTGAGGGTATCCAACACGGGTGCGGATTTAGAGATCGGATCCTTTGAGATGTAAATTCTAAGATTGGGGATACGGATCCTAATACGGATATGGGTGCAGGGATTCGGCTAAAAATAATTTAAAAAAATCTCTAAATTATGAGAAATTATGTGGAATACTTACCTATAACTTGTGAAGTGTAGATTTTTTTTTTATTCTCAAGTTGTAGGCATGATTTCTTGATTTTCGTCTCGGATTCTTCTACAAGTTAACTTTTTTATAATTATCTTTCATTTACCATTAAGTATTACTTTTATAATTAAATTTAGATCTCTAATTGTTATTAAAAATCAGATTTAGTGTGTGTCAAGCTTTCACTACAAGAGGTACAATATTATTAAATAAAATAATTGTCACGCCCCAAAACCGAGGAGCGCGACCGGCGCTCAACCGAGTGAACCCGACCGAGCAAGCCTGTTAGATTCCTTTTACCCAAACTCATTGATGAATAAAGAGAATATATATTTTTCTTAATTAAACAATAAAGTGGTCATGTCTGCAATTACCAATTTCTTACCATAAGTTTCACCATTTTTAAAGTTTCAAATGGACAAGTAATACAACCACAACATAGCATAGTTTGTCTTTCCCAGCACCAATACGCATCCCACATTATGTCTACGGAGCCTCTATAGATAAAGAACAGTACAATGATAATGCCGGCAACAAAGCCCGGCTATACCTTAAACCGAATACACAAAGTACAAAAGATACATAACCCCAGGATGAAGTGGGCTCACCAAGTCAGCTGGGAAGAAGGTGTACTGCTATCACTGATCGATATCTCCTGCTGTGGAACCACCTACATCCATTGAAAGATGCAGCGCCCCCGGCAAAAGGGAC